CTTCAATCTTTTTATCTCTTGCAGAGCAAGCCTTGACTCCAAACATTAAATTTCTTGGTACTCTTTTTTTTTCCTCTTTAAAATGTATATTTTGTATTTCTTTTTACCCTGCTTGCTCTTTTTCATTGTAGACCTGCATAAGAGTGATGGCTAATAACTATGTGACAGAACCAATATTAGGCTGTCTTGAAATCTCTTCCACCAAGGAAGTTTGTTCAATATTTTCATTTAGTCTCAGGCAAATTCTTGGAACAAGGGCAGAAAGCACTTTTTTTTTCCGACAAAATATCTCAAGAATTGTGCCTAGCCCAGTTGTTCATGTTGTTGTTGTTGTTGTTCTGAAACTTCTTGAGCTGGGCCTCCATAGTTCATATGGCTCTCGGCGCTACTGTCTTCCCGTCTCCTAGGAAGACTAGCATGGTAGATTGAGCTCCACCCCTCCGCAGCTTTCAGCCACGTGTCTAGTCCGAAGTGCTAAAGTCTTCCACATTTCTCCAAAAACAGCGAAGTCAGGTCTTTTCTCAGCAGTAGCCCAGCCCTGGTACCACCATCTGTCTGTCTGAGTTACTTTTCTATCGCTCTGGTAAAACACTAAAAACCAAGGCAACTTATAAAAGAAAGTGCTTAATTTGGCTCACAGTTTCAGAGGGTTAGAGTTTGTGATGGTGCAGTAAAGGAACAACTGAGAGCCCTCACAACTTGATCGAAAACCATGAGGCAGAGAGAGAGTGTGTGTTACTGGGAATCCCATGTGTTTTGTTTTGCTGAAAAAAAAAAAAAAAAAAAGAACAAAATTTTCATACAATATATTTTGACTATGTCTTTCCCATATCCTGTATGAGTCTTTTGGAACTTCAAAGCCCAACCCTAATGACTTATCTCTTCCAATAAAGCCACAACCTTCTAATCCTTCCCAAACCATTCCACCAACTAAGGACAAAATATTCAAATATAGGAACCTCTGAGGCGGGGGTAGGTATTCTCATACAAATCACCACCCTTCTACTCTACCTTCGCATGGTCACAGGAGTCAGGGTGTTGTCCAACTGCCTCACAGGCCTTGATTTTTTCCCTAGGATCAATGGTCACCCTGGGAAGTCCACGCGCCTGGCTGGCCTGTGGAAGCTGGAGGAGGTCAGTCTGTCCTGGTCTCACTGCCCTGTTCTTGAGCGCCCCTCCTCCCTTGAGCGCCATCCCTGACCTTCACGTTGACCCCACAGTGCCATCTCAGTGGCTGCATGATGGACCTGTTCATCCAGATGGCCATCATCATGGGTCTCAAGCAAACTCTGAGCAACTGCATGGAATACCTGTGCCCGTGAGGACTCCTCCCACCCCACTCCAGTCTCCCAGTGCCCAGTGCCCGTCTCCAGTGCCCTGCAGTCTTTCTGTATGCTCCACACATTCTCGGTGCCCACAGGTTGTTGGCCCATAAATGCCGCTTAATGTGTGCTAAGGTACATGATCAGGAGTTCAGAGACCCAGAACTGGAGGAGTGGCGCCGAAACTACCACATGAATCCAGTCAACACCTTCAGCCTGTTTGATGAGTTCATGGAGATGAGTGCGTTGGAGTGGGCTGAGCGGATCGGGTGGGTGTGCAGGGTGAAAGTGGGTGGCTGTACTGGATCCGGGCTGACGTTTTCACCTTGCAGTGATCCAGTATGGCTTCACCACCATCTTTGTGGCTGCTTTCCCGCTGGCACCACTGTTAGCACTCATCAGCAACGCTGTGGAGATCCGCCTGGACGCCATCAAGATGGTCAGACTACAGCGACGCCTGGTTCCGAGAAAGGCTAAGGACATAGGTCAGAGGGCACACAAGTTGTTCAGTGGAGGAGAGCAGCTGGGACACTAGGAAGAGCAACTTCTAATCCTGGGTTTTCCACCAGCCCATGCCAGGTCACCTTGAAGCAACTTGTAATAGCTGGAGCCCCCGTCCCTTACTCCAGAGACATTCCCTAGGTTTCCCCAATATGGGAACTGAGCCACACGAGCTCAATCCCTAGAAAAGGGCAGGCTAAAGTGCACCTGACAAGGCTTTCCCATGAGCCTCCAGCATGTGGCTGGAGAGCTTGCAGCCTCCAAGGGGACGGTATGGAAGAACAGGAGTCTGATCACACGGAAGGGAAGGTATGGCAGAACAGAGAACCCTAGACCTCAGTTGTCCTGACTTTCCATAGTGAGAATGACAGATGTCAGGGAAACAGACAGTTCAGATGCTACATGTGTTGGGGGGGGGAGCACTAGGGAGAACCCAGGCTTGGCCTGGGTTTTGGAAATCTCTCTTGGGTGGGTTCCAGGAAATAAACAACCTGTTGAAGAGTTTTAGGAAGAAGTTGGGGATGGGGATGGGGGAGGGTGCAGCTGTCCCATGTCTGTCTTAGTTGGGGATTTCCTAGCAGATAACTTGGCCCCCATGGCTACAATGGAGCCATGAACAGAGATTGAACAAGGATCCTTGACCAATCAGGTTCCAAGATTTTAGGGCAGGAGACTACCAATAATCAGGACTGGCTGCTTCACTCCACTGCTGTCATTCAGGGACCTGGCTGCAGATACTGGAGACCATCGGAGTGCTGGCAGTCATTACCAACGGAATGGTCATCGCTTTCACCTCTGAATTCATTCCCAGAATAGTCTACAAGTACTACTATAGCCCGTGCAGAAAGTACCAGAACTTCACAGATGAGTAAGGCATTAAACCATCAAGCTCCCCACCTCCACCACCCCCGAGAATCTGGCCCTTGCAGCTAAGCCCTTGGATCCCAGACCTGGGTCTCTCCCAGGTACACCTGGGAGCTGCCAGTGCCTTTGGGGTTGCACTTACTGAGGATGGGACTTGAGTACGCCTTGCACTGTCAACATTCCTTGGCTGGATCCCAGGACTAGCTGATGGACTAGTCATCCTTGGTGGGGAGGGGAGTACCAGGCACCATTGGTGATGAGCAGGTAGAACCTAACTGCCTCTCCTGCGAAGTCATACACCCCTTTCCTGCTTTCTGGTGTGGGGAGGCAGAGCAGAGATGTTTCTAGCTCCCATTGCACCTGCAGACTGGGGTTCTTTGGGCCAGCCCTAGGAGCATTTTTCCAGCTTGGTCGGAAAGACAGTTGGTGACATCCCTCAGGCCCCTCAGCCTCTCTTCCCTCTCCCAGGTGTGGCCTTGTGCTTAGATGGCAGGCCTTTTCTCCTAAAGGGAAATGGAGGAGGCTTTCCATGGTGTGTCCTCCCTCTAGTGCTTCCTAGACACAGGTGACTTTTCAGGAGGAGCCTCAGGCCATGCGAACCCCACACTTGTCTCTCTCCAGCTGCCTCCAGGGCTATGTCAACCACAGCTTGTCTGTCTTCTACACCAAAAACTTCAAGGACCACGGCAGGATGGAAGGCCAAGAAAATGTGACCGAGTGCAGGTTTGGAACCTCTTGGCCCCCATAAATGCCCTCTAAACTCCTGATTCCTGACCTCAGGTACTCCCCTACCCCAGGTACCGGGCCTACCGGGATGAGAACGACTACAGCTTCACTAAGGCATTCTGGTTCATTTTGGCTATCCGGCTGGCCTTTGTCATCATCTTTGAGGTGGGCAGAATTGTGAGAGAGCCTGAGCATGGCAGCTTCCTTACTGCTCTTTCCTAGTCCCCGTACCCTGAAGGTTCTTCTTAGCCACTGACCTTGCTGGGCCTTTTCCCTCCCGGCCACCCCCCAGCACTTCGCCTTGTGCATCAAGCTCATTGCTGCGTGGTTTGTGCCTGACGTGCCCCAGTCAGTGAAGAACAACGTTCTGGAGGAAAAGTACCAGGCACTTCGGGAGAAACTGTGGTAGGGATGCAGAGGCTGAGTTGGCTGGGGCGCAGGTCTGTGCCTGGGGACAGGCCTGGCCTCTGACCTCTGTACCAACTCCACCCTTTCTGTAGTTTCAATTCCAGGAGCACAGACGTGTAGACAGCCTGGGGCAGGTGGAGAAATGCTGGTTGCCAGGCGCCTGGACTAGGAAGGAGTCCCCATCTCTACAGCTTGCTCCTGTCCATACAATGTGTATGAGTGTGTTGAGGGAGGCCGTAAAATGGTCCATGTATATGTAGGGTCCTAGGTGGTCTACATATCTGTTAGTGAATGAAGGTCACAGGATGACCTTGAATATATTGGGTATTTATGAGCATCCTAGGAAGCCCATGTATGTATGTTAATCACGGAAGGCTCTTGGACATGTAGGGGTGGGGGTCCTTGAGATTCCATGTTATTTAGGGTATTTATGAGCAGCGTGAATGTGCCTGTTGTGCGTGCTCTAACTGCCCTAGGGTTCAGACTGGCACAGACATGACTTAAAATTCCTGAGTGACCCTAGTGCCCATTCAACGGCAGCCTGCTCATAAAATCCCAACTGCAGTAAAACCAGCCCAAGTTCCATGGACCTCCTGGCTTCTGGGCCCCAGATCCCACTTGGTGGCCTCCTGCTTGGTGGGAGGTCAGGGACTAACTTCTGGCTTTTCCCGGATTAACCTGGATCCCCACAGCCGGTAAAACATTTTACAAACACAATAAACCTGTGTGTATTCATTTCTGAGCCTCATGATGTAGATCCAGTTTCTACGGATTATTTTTGCCCTGGGCTAGACCGAGGAAGGATGAAGTGTGGTAGCCTCGGGCCACCTGGCTTTTCTCTGGTTTGCCTTCAATAAGGGAGGGGCAGCTTACTGAAGACGGTTCTGCCTTCCAAATATCCGGATTTGGGGGTGGCGAGAGAAGAAGCAGGGTGAGCTATGGGTGGGTGGGGGGATCAAGACAGACTTCCTGGAGGAAAGAGAAGCGCTCTCAGGCTGGAGAGGCAGAACACCATGATGGTTGGCAGGGTGACCCTTTGCGGGCCGCGCTGGCTGGGCTGGTTTGGCCACTGCCCCAATGCTGGGAAGGCTGAAGATCCCGGGGCTGAACTCCCTACAGTCTCCAGCACTAGCCTCCGGCATAAAGCGGGACACTAGGGTCCGCCCTCGCCCTGCCTGCGGGGCGGGGCCGCACCTGCCGCTGGGTCTGTCGCTGCTGCGCACCTAGGCCAGGTAAACTGCCATCCGCCGTGCGATTCTCAGGTCTGAAAGCAGGTGGGTGACAGTCGTGACTCAGACACGTGGAGGTGAGTAGAGGTCGTGGTTCCCGTAGCCGCTCCAGTTCTAGGGTTGAGGACCTGGACGCACTTTGCTCCGAGGAGCCTTGGGGCCATGGTCCCACAGGAAGTAGCTCCGAACCAGGCAGGTTTCCCCCGCTCAGCCCGGAAGCTCGAGAGCGCTGCGTCCAGTCCCCTTCTCCGGGCCTTGCTTTCTTCACTCTGCCCGACGTGGTCAATGGCTTTCTCTTGACTTCAGTGCCCAGTCCATAGAGGCGGGCGAGGGGCTCAAGACCCCACCTTCGCTCCCAGGAGCGTATCTCAAACCTGAGCAATTCTAGGATACCCTGGACAGACTGAGGGCCTGGCTGGGCCCCGGACTCCCGGGGTCCCCAGCAGAGCTTCCGCCTCCTGCGCGCGCCAGCACTCGGTGCGCGCCCAGACTAGCTGTGGGCGCCCTTCCGCTCCCCGTGCGCGTCCCCAGCTTGCTCACGCGTTCCTGATAGGCTTGCTTGCAGCACCTGTTGGGGCCGGGGAAACAGGTCGTGCGCCACCCTCAGAAAACGAAGGGCAAGATGTAGGAGCGTGATGAACTCGGGGAATCGGTCACCCCGAGGCCTTTTATGTGCGCTCTTTCCTTTAAAAAAAGATATCTGGGAACCCAGCACACACCAGGAACGGGAGCGGCGCAAGTCAAGAGCTGAGCAGGAGCAACACCCAGGCGGCAGACCCGAAAGCAGAGAGCGGGGTCTGGTTTCAAGGAGCGCAGCCCCAGGGTACTCATTCATCCAAGAACACAGGTTGCTTGTGGAGCTTCAGGACTGGGCCTGCGGGAGAAAGATCTGGGCTTTCCAGGAATCCCGTAATTGCGGAGGCAATGCGGAGTGATCTGAGGATCCAGGCTAGGAATTAAATTCCAGCGCCTCCAAAGGACTTCAGGCGGATCTCTGTGAGTTCGAGGCCAGCCTGGTCTACAAAGTGAGTCCAGGACAGCCAAGGCTACACAGAGAAACTCTGTCTCTAGGGGGGGAAAAAAAAACGACTGAGAGGGTGACGGAGTCTAGGTGCAGGAGGCTCAAACATTATGGCAAAGGTGTTTGAGGGCACTGCCCCCAGTACCTCTGAACTTTGCTTCATTTCTTGACTCACAATGTGGGAAACACAGAACTGCCAGTTACTATGCATGGGATGCTCAGGAGTCCTATGAAAAGGCTTCAGGTACCAAATGGCTCCACAAGCGTAGAGGAATCTGTTCCCTTCAGCCTTTCTGGCTGTGAGCCAAAGGTGCACCATCACCCAGAGGTCACAAATGCCAAGCCATGGCTGGGTCAAAGTCAGATAAGGTGGCAGGAAAGCCTGTTTTTTGTGTCGATGATTCTGGGTGGCCTGAATCAGGGGCAGGGAGATTCTCTAGGACCTACTTATGCAATTGTGAGTGTAAAGGGTGGTCCGAGGACTGGAGAAGATCCCTGTCCAGTTCTGTAAGTAATGCTACTGGGCCCCAAGGCTCAGGTCAGTCTGGGGGGAAATCAGTGGTAACAATGGGAGAAAGCAGCTATCTTCTCCCGTCCCGCATCAGAACAAGGGGATTGTGTTTGACACTTTTCCTTGAAAAGGGGCTCTGTTCTCTCACCCCAGCCCTAAGCTAATGTCTTAGCCTTCACAGCTATTCACTCAACCAAGTCTGTTGCCTGGGAGGTAGACAGGATAAGGATGAGAGAGAGGTTCTCTAGGTTTCATTACTGGTCACCAGTTTCTGAGCTACCCCTTTGCCACAGTAGGTCAGAGGTGAGTCATGCACGGGACTTTTGGTTGTCGTTGTTGGGGGTTGTGCAGAGAACATAATTCCCCCCTCCACTCCTGAGTATAGTATAAACAAATGAAAGTACTTCCAGGATTGGCGCATGTCTTTAATCCCAGCACTCGAGAGACAGAGGCAGGTAGAGCTCTGAGTTCCAAGCCAGCCTGGTCTACACAGACAGATCTAGGACAACCAGGACTATATAACAAGAGCTTGTGTCAAAAGGGGGGTCAGGTAGAATCTAGGAGGCAGGCCTGCTACCCAGCTTGTCTTCCTTGTGTGTGTTAGGATGATTCTGGCTGGGGGTCTCCTTGCCGCAATTCCTGCACATCACCTTAACCTCTGAACTAACTGCCTACAGTCTAGCACAGGAACAAATGGAGTGCTTGGGGACTGGGGCAGTCTCCGGAGGAAGGGGCCTTCTTACTCAGTTACAGGAAGAGCCAGGCGAGGCGGGGCATGGACCGCCAGCAGCCCTCCCCGGCAGGGGAAGGGGTGGGTACCTGGGTGGGGTTTAGGTTTAGGAGAGGATGTGACTGCAAGGCCAGGAAACTGAGGGGGAAAGTTCTGACTAAAATATACATCAACAAAAGCCAGGTCCTCGCCCAAGCCTGGGGATGCATCGTGGGTAGCCACAACACCGTGGCTTCTCTCTGGGGCCCAGCTGAGGGGACAATTTGCTCACAAGTGCACGTTTCCGACCTCAATGGCCATCTTTCCTCGGGAGGAAAGATCTGGAACCCAGGTGACTGTGCTCCATGGCTCTGAGTGATCCTGTGGCCTTGTGGTCTCTCCTTGGTGGTAGGCTTGGCTGAGGAGAAGCCCATGATGCTGAGGTACATGAAGGCACGGTGGTGTGTATGTGTGTGTGTGTGTGTGTGTATGTGTGTGTACATACTACACGTGTGGGTGCATGCGTGTGCGTGGGCATGGGCGTACTTATGGTCCCTGAGGTATTTGGGAGTGAGCCTGTGACGCGAGGTGTGGGCAGCCTGAACCCTGTGGGAGAGGCAGTGTTGTACGGAAGATATGTGTGTGCTCATTGGCAAAGGTGAACTCAGTGAGGCCGAGTGGGGGTCAGAGAGGGGCTGCGCATGCATAGAATGTGAAAGAGAAGAGAGCACGGGCGGGTGCGGGCACCTGCTGCTTGAGTGAGTCACACCCTGGAGGTTTGGGCTTTGTTTCTGGCAGTGTCCATGGCTGCCTTTGTAGGGCTCAAGGTCTTCTGAGCTTGAGGAGGTTGAGGGCTATGGCAGGACATGCTCTTTTACTTGCTGGGCTGGAGTACATACTTCTGGCCACTCTGGGAGGGTCACTTGAAAAGCTTTGGTGGGTGGGTCTGCTTCTAGAACTGTAGAAGGACTGCCCTTCACCCAGAAGGGTTTCTAGAAGGATCACTTTGCCACCCCTGACAATAATGTGCCTCTTGCTGAGCTAGCTCCCAAGACTGATATCTAGCCACGCTGGAGATTTCTGGTTGAGCATTACCCAGTGCAGAACAAAGGAAGCCAGACTATAGGACTCATTCTCCTATACCTAAGGCCTGGGCCTTAGGTATAGGAGGGGCATCTGAGGCAGGCCAGGCCCAGGGGCTTGGGGCTTGAGCCCCTGTTCCTGCTGCCCATGTGTCTGTGCAGCATGGAGGAGAGTAGGGACCCTATAAATGCTTGTTGCATAAAGAGAGTGAACTTGGGGCACCCAGGTAAGAGGAGTCACCTAGGGCTGTGCTAAAGAAAAGCATCTGGAATGTTTCCTGCAGTCACGCCACTACAGAGTTTTCTGAGTCCCAGGTGTGTATAGTTGCTGTGGGCTGAGAATGAGGACCCTAGATAGGAGTTTGGGGTTCTCAGACGGGCTTCCCACGGCCCTTCAGAGTGGCCTCTAGGCCAGCCTGGTCCCCATTTACCTCTCTTGGCCCAGGTGAGCCTTAGCGTGTCCACAGGTGTGACGTGTCCACTCACATGTGCATGCGTGATTGCATCCAGAGCAAAATCTCACAGTTAGGTTTCATTCATATCCCCTTCATTCTCAGGTCCTGGCCAGGTGACACGCACACACACACCCACCTGCATACAGCAAGCTAGTCCATTACAGGGGACCGCCAGGAAGGAGGCTAACTGCTATCTCCTGAGGTCAGATCCTTCTTGGAGCATGTCTGCTGCGTCCCTGAGTCACCACGGTGGCCCCAGAACGGGTGAAGGTGGTCCGTGGACCTGTCCCTCCCAAGCGGTGTGAGGCAGAATTGCTCTCGTCTTGTATCTAGGAGCTCATCCAGCACTCTGAGACTGGCCAAGGTTGCAAGGCAGCTCTCTGGTGTGCAGCCAGTACTGCTGATGGCTGACAGTTACTGGTTAACTCGTCCTGTTCCTGTTTAACTTGTGCCCTGGGGATGGTGACAGCCTCTGACCTCCAGGTACCCTGTTCATCTGGCTGAACAGACAGAAAGGAGTTCTTCTCAGCCTTCAGTGGACCCATCTGCTCGGTTAAGGAGTCCCCGTGGAGCGAGGGGTGGAACCAGTGGACAGCCTGCCGTGAAGAGGCCCTGGACGAGCCATGGCAGGTAGGCAGGTCAGAGAGGGCCAGGAGCAAGTCTCCACCCCAATTTCTGCTTGTCAGGCTGGCTCAACATTACACTTTCTGCTGAGCTCTGTGCTTAAATACATACCAGAGGTCAAGGCCTGTGCTCATCCCTTCTTTCTAGTAGTTGCTTTGAATTCAGGGCAGCAGGGTTCATGAGAGCCTCTACTTCTCTCCTGCCGAGGGCCTCCAGATGAGTAAGCCTTGAAATCTCAATGGAGTCCTGGGGGTGTGAGTGGTTGGTTTGTTCATTTTTTCCCCAAGAAACAGGGTTTCTCTGTGTAGTCTTGGCAGTCCTAAATTTGAGTTGTAGAGCAAGCTGGCTTTGAACTCACAGAGATCCGCCTGCCTCTGCCTGCCTGAGTGCTGGGTTTACAGGTGTGCACCTCCGAGCCGGGCTGGGGATGTGAGTATTAAGTGAGGTGGTGCAGTGTAGCTCTCCAGCCTCCTGCTTAGGGGCGTCATCTTTACTTAGAGATGAGACGTTAGGCCTCAGAGAAGAGGGGAGGGCAGTCTGTGGCCAGCGGAGGGGGATCCTGGAAGCCCAGACTCCAGCTTGCCCTGTCCCTGTGAAAGATGTCAGAATGCTATGTATTCTTTCAGCCTTCAGCACCTGTAGTCCCTGTAGCTCTTGAGTAGAAGCCAGCTAGACTGAGGGATGCAGGCCCTACTCTGAAGGGGCAGCGTGGAGGCTGGACTCATGTCCAGCAGGGATACGCCAACAGATGGGCCTCTGTGGCTGGGCTGGCTCAGCTCAACTATGACTCTGGCCACTCCTCTCCCTCAGCACAAGGCTGTCACATGAGGGCCAGCAGAACACAACTGTCTCCTGCTGAGGGAAGAATGCAAGCCTGGGCTCAGGCCTATAGGATCCATGGATAGATGTAGTCACTGACACCAATCACCCATTGCCTTTTTTTTTTTTTTTTCTTTTAACCCCCTCCATCATAGAGCATCTGGGCATAGCATGGGAGTAGGTATTCCAGTATGGCTGACCTGTTGTACTTTTTCTGCAGGTGTCTGTGACAGGGCCCCTAATTTCCTCTCCCCATCTGAAGACCAGACCTTGGGACCTGCCCTTGGCAGTACAGTTGCTTTGAATTGCACAGGTTGGGTGGACTCTGGGCCTCAGTGTCCCCAGCCCTCAGTACAGTGGCTAAAAGATGGTCTGACATTGGGCAATGGAAGTCACTTCAGCCTCCATCAGGACTTTTGGTAAGAGACTGAGGTGTCCAGGATTAGAGTAACCACCAGGATATACCCATGGCCAGCCTTTCTGACCCTAAACTGTGATAACCAGGGCAAGGGCTATGTAGTACCTGTGTAAACTTGACATTGCAAAGTGTTCCCATGGACACAGATGGAGGGTTTACTTTGGGACTGGGTCTTAGTTTATGTTTCTTGTAGACTGTCTGAGGACAGAATCCTAAGTCTTTCATGGGTCACTGATTAGCTAAGCCTGTAACCAGACCCAGCCCAAATTCTGGGCACTTAGCTTAGTTCTTTAATCTCTCCCTGGGTGAATCCCAGACAGATGGGACTTGGGCAGCCACTGATGTTCTTGGTCCCCATGTGAGGGTTTGGCCTGATTTTCCCAGGGTCAGCGCCAACTTCTCAGGGGTCGTGTCTAGTGTTCTGGTGCTCAACTTGACCAATGCTGAGGACTACGGGACCTTCACCTGCTCTGTCTGGAATGTCAGCTCCCATTCCTTCATCCTTTGGCGAGCTGGTGAGAGAGTTCAGGGTGGTGGAGGGCAAGGGTTTCCTGTGGTCCTTAGGTCAAGGGAATAGTGATTCTTTGTCTGCAGGCCCTGCTGGCCATGTGGCTGCAGTGGTGGCTTCCCTCCTTGTCCTGCTGGTTCTGCTGCTGGTGGCCCTGCTCTATGTTAAGTGTCGCCTGAACCTGCTGCTTTGGTACCAAGACACCTATGGGGAGGTGGAGATGAACGGTATGTAAGGTTCTGTATGGATTCGGGTACAGGGTTCAGTACATTACTGAGATGCTGGCTGCATGCTGGGTTCTGCCCTGGATGGAGGGAGTTATAGCTCTAGAGGGCACTAGGTGACAAGGGCGGTGGAAAGTAGCGTCTCAGAAGGGCACAGGACTGGGGTCAACAGAAGGAAGAGTCCTGGAGTCTGGTTCACGTGTTCAGAGAAATGCTGGGCATGGGATAGGGGTTTCTCTATAACTGGCCGCGCTGACTGGCCTTCTTGCAGATGGGAAGTTATACGATGCCTACGTGTCCTATAGCGACTGCCCGGAGGACCGCAAATTTGTGAATTTCATTCTGAAGCCTCAGTTGGAGCGGCGTCGGGGATACAAACTCTTCCTGGACGACCGCGATCTCTTGCCGCGAGCGGGTACCGCCCATATCCCGCCTCCCAGTTCCCACTCTGTTCCCTGAGTCCCGCCCTTGTCACTGGCCCCGCCTCTCATCCGCCCGCCCACGCCCGTGCCCACAGAGCCCTCTGCCGACCTCTTGGTGAACCTGAGCCGTTGTCGGCGCCTCATCGTGGTTCTTTCAGACGCCTTCCTGGGCCGGGCCTGGTGTAGCCAGAGCTTCCGGTGCGTCGGGTGCTTGGCTTGGGGTGGGAAACCGGGAGACCTGGTCCTGCCCCTCCTGACGGTCCCGTCGCTGCAGGGAGGGACTGTGCCGCCTACTGGAGCTCACGCGCAGACCTATCTTCATCACCTTCGAGGCCCAGAGGCGTGAGCCTATCCATCCTGCTCTTCGTCTCCTGCGACAGCATCGCCACCTCGTGACCCTGCTGCTTTGGAAGCCTGGCTCCGTGGTACGAGGGCTGGGGGTTTGTGAGTGGGTGCCTGAGGTGCTGGAGGGCAAGGGGACCTGCAAGGCAGCCACCAGCATTGCTCTTTGGATCTGGGTGGCTAGAGGCTTCCAGTTTGTACATCCCCATGTGTTTATACTGACGGTCCAAACTTGGTCTCTAGACGCCTTCCTCTGATTTTTGGAAAGAGCTTCAGCTGGCACTGCCACGGAAGATGCAGTACAGGCCGGTGGAGGGAGACCCCCAAACCCGACTACAGGATGACAAAGATCCCATGTTAATCGTGAGAGGACGTGCTGCGCAGGGCCGGGCCGTGGAGTCAGAGCTGGATCCAGACCCTGAGGGAGACCTGGGTATGCTCATCTGGCCTCACTGCCGATCAAGGGGTCAGGCACAGCTCCAGCTTGGAGGACTCTGGCATCCAGAGATCCTGCCTCCTAAGGAGGTTTGACGTCTGCTGGCAGTGGCCCTCACTGCTTCTTACCAGGGGAGATGGTTTTGCTCCTAGGCTTCTGTCAGGGAACTCTCAGGGTTTCTAGTGTCATTGTGGCTGGTAGGTGAGCATGAAGTAACCCCTTCTGATCACAGGACCTAGCAGAAGCCTGGTGGCAGATCAGGCAGCCTTAGGCCTTGTGGTATTCTGCAGGTGTCCGTGGACCTGTCTTTGGGGAGCCACCAGCTCCACTGCATGAAAGCAGGGTCGCCATAGGAGAGGGCCATGGCAGTGAAATGGATGTCTCTGACCTTGGCTCTCGAAACTACAGCGTGCGAACGGACTTCTACTGCCTGGTGTCTGAGGATGATGTGTAGCCCTTATCCTAGCAGCCCAGATCATGGGATCAAGGCGGCAGCTCCCAGGGTAGAGGCAGGTACCCTCTCTCTCGGACACAACCCTTGCCTGTATCCCTGTGCCTCTCAGGGAAGGAGTGTGGCTCCGGGGTGTCACAAAATAAAATTCTCTTGGCTCTTGCTTGGGCCTGTTTCTCTTCTGGGTTATAACTGTTATGCCTCCTATTGCTTCTGCCATGAGACCCTGACCCTTTTCCTTTCTGTCTTTACCAGCACCAGGTTTCCCAAGCTGCTACCCACCCAAACCTGCCCTCTACCCTCAGCTATCCCTGGCATATCCCTTGCTCTAATAGCCCCTAGTATCCCTGCTTGGTACTTGGTTGGGAGTATGACTGGCCCCTCTCATTCTGGACAGATCCTTCAGTAAGAAGCCACTGTTGATACTTTTACAAGGAAAAATGGGTAGCCTTGCTTCTGATACTCGTGGACTTCAAGCCTGGGACAGCCAGTCTGGTCCTCTGGCCAGGGCACTTCTAACACCAGCTCAGGATAGACAGAGAGTATTGGGTGTGTTTATGGCATAGATACTGCTCATAAGTCTCCAGCTCTGCTGTGTCTATGCCACATATAGCAGGAAGGCTATCTCTGTCTACTCCTTCCCTGTCCTGTCCCTTCTGCCTTGGGAAGCTTAGGTGTGAGTCTGGAGGTGTGTCTTCAGGAACAGGTAGGCATGTTTGGGGACAGTGCACACTTCCCAGAAATACACAGAGCTGGGGCTGTATTCAAAATCACCTTTATTCCCAATGTTGCTGTCACAAGGCTGTCAGGCCAAGGGCAGCCCCACCCCTGCCACTGTGACTATGTTACCACCCAGTGCACCAGAGCAGCTCAAGCCCTACCCACTTCCCCTGCCCTGCAGAAGCCAATCAATTCCCAGTTGCAAGCCCCTGTTCTTCCCTGGTGGCTCCGGCCCCTCAAGGGTACACACAGGACTCCAGAGAGAGGTCCTGTAGCCATCAGCTCCTCTTCCATGTTCTGTGGGATGGCAGGAGCCGAGCCTGTCTCTTGGAAGCTGAATCACTCCACCTCCAGGAGGCTTCACCTATGGGCCCAGGAAATCCTCCTTCCGGTAGCCCTTCTGCAGTGGAGAGGGGACAGGGAAGTCAGGATTTCCTTTGCTGTCCCTGAGGTCCTGCCTTCCCCATAATGTTCTAGGCACAGCCTGGGCCCCTTGCCTTTGTGTTCCAGGCTTGTGTCCCTGCCCTGGTGACCTTCAACCTGCACTGAGCCTCATGCCCTGAGTCCCTGTTCCCAGGCTCTGTAAAACGTACCGCCCGGAAGTCACGGTGGAGCTTGCTGTACTGCCAGAGGTTGGCCAAGAGGCTAGAGGCTGCCCGGGAAGACTTCTCGCTGTCAGGGCTGTGGGCATTCAAGAGGGTCGGGGTCAAGGCTAGGATGTAGAATGGGTGAGTTGTACCTTGACCATGTTGCTGTGGGTTGGGTTGGTCCTTACCTATCTCTCTTCTTTTTGATGAAGATAAGCTTTCGGAGCCCATCAAAATAGAGCAGGTCCCGGGCAGCGATGGGGCTGGCTACCACCAGGTTGTTGAGCACAGCTATGATGTTCACCAGCACCTCAGCTGGGGGACACTTCTCACCCACACTACCAGGAAGCTTCTCAATCAGGTGGCTCACTACCTTTGTGGCTGATAAAGAGTTTAGGGTCAGTCTGCCAGATTCCCTGCTACCTTGGTGCCCAGAACCTCTGCCTCCCCAGGGGGCTGACACACACACCTGCCCACTCCATCTGACTTGCTAGCCAGAAGCCAGCTCCTTGGGAGGCATGGGCTGTGTACTGGACCAGGGACAGAACTCACACATCTCATCCTTGTTCCTGGCATTCCGAGACAGGTTTCGGATGAGACCAGTCAGTGAGCGAAGTTGGTTGTGGTCAGCGGTGCGAACTCGGTCCAGCAAGGGGTTTAGGATACGCTCCTGTTCCAGAGCCAGGCGGCTCAGGACACCTGCCCACTGCAGTGAAAGGTAGAGGACGTGGTGAAGCCCAGAAGCGCCCCAGCCAGCCCCAGCCAGCCCCGTTCAGGATTGAGGGACAGTCACTTCTTCACTTCTTGCTTGCTACTTGTGCCTGTTCTGTCAAGTCAGGACCTGACCAAGGACCCTTTCTGCTCAGAATGTCAGAACTCAAATCCACACGGGCCCATTCCTCAGACTGGAGCATGGGTTTCATGTCTCACTCCTAGAGATCCTTCCCCCAACAGACCATGAATTCCTGGGGCCTATGATATCCCTATGCGCCCTGGTGCCTATGCTAAAACCAGGAGTAGGGGCTGTCAGGCCACTGACCCTGCGGTCACCCGCGGTGATATTCTGTAGCGCCCCCGCAGCTGCCTCTGTTGTATGACGGTTTAGCTCACAGCGCTGCAGCAGCCGGTTGTACAGCCCCACGATCTGGGGGCTCCACAGCCACTCGAGACCCTTGGGATCCTTAGAGACTTCGGCAAAGGTGAGCGCATCAGCTGTGAGAGGAAGCTGAGGGGGAGGGCACCGCGGTCAACCAGGGCCAAGGGTGCAGCAGAAGTCAGGGCCTTAGGCTGGCACTCCCCATTCCCGACCTCCCTGGTCTCTGCTCACCTCACGTAGCCTCCGACTCTGTGGCGTAAAGCAGCCTACCACCTCACCAGGTGGTGCTCCGGTCATGTCCCTGCGGCCCCGGCCTTCAAGCCGCTGCAGGGCCGATGGTGGCATCTCATCATATAGGCGGTAGGACAAGTTCCTCAGCACACACACAGCATTCTCCACACTCTGCAGAGAACAGAGGGTGGTCAGAGCGGGCCGAGGCCCCGGGGGCCCCCTTGGCTCACCGGCTGCCCCTCACCTTGTCCTCACACTTGCCCACGTCCAGGGCATGGTTGATGTAGGTGACCAGGGCATCCACTAGCCCGTGGCACTCACGCATCTTCTGACGAGTGGCCTGGGAGGCCGAGCTGAGGTTCCTGGGGATGGAGGCAGGTCAGAGCTCCCCCAGGGATACCAACACAGTCCCCCCAGGGACCCTGGAAGGGTTACTTCAGGAACCCTTAACCGCGGCCCTTGTCCTGGAGATGAAATCACCAGGCACTGATTTGTCCATCCCTGTACCCTCCAGTTCCTGGACCTTATTAGATACTTCTGGCTCTGCCCTTCACAAACCCATCCCCCAATCAGCTCTTCAAAGTTTAGGAAGATAGATGTCAGGACAAGAGACTCTATTTAATGGATCACAAAGCCCTAGGGTGTCCTGACCTCCACACCTCCATATCTGGCCTGTCACCCTCAGGCCTCAGCCCCTAGACTTTTCCCTGCTGTTTTCGACTCCCAGCGGACTCGGCTAATTGTCCTTGTCATTTAGGTGGCAAAAGAACATGCTTCTAGAAGCTTCCCTGATCCTTCTCTTGTCACCTGGCTCTTTCCCCTCAGCATCTCCTCACCCAGTGCCTCCACTTAGCACACCTGAGGAAGCCAGTAGCATTGTAGAAGATCTCTGCCTCAGAGGCATTCTGCTGGATGAGGGGGGGCCCGCCTGCCCCTGACAGGGGACTTAGCACCAGGTCTGTGAGCTGCTCCAGTGTATCTCGGGCGAGGCGATCCTTTAGGTGGTCACTGGAGGACAGATTCCACAGGATCCCTGCACAAGATGGGGCCAAGGCTGTGGTCAGGGTCAGCTCCCTGGCCCTTCTGCTTCCTCTGGAGGTGGCGTGAGCAGTTTCTCCACATTCTCTTTTTACAAATATTTATTTTTTAATTATATGTGTGTCCATGCATTAGTATATCATAAGCACACGAGCTGGAGTTACATGCAGTTATGAGCCGCCTGATGCAGGTGCTGGGAGCAGAACTTGGGTCCTTTGGAAGAGCAGCAAACACTCTTCTTCACTGAGCCATGACCTCAGCTCTGGACCCCACACTTTCTTGGAGCCTTGCCTTACTCTAGAGCTCCACTGGAGAGGCCCTCAGTGTGACCTTTGGAGGTATGGGGCAGGAGAAGAGCCAGAGAGACAAAGAAGGTGTGGGGATTGGAAGGCCTGGGAGTGGAAGTGCCTGGAAAGAGAGGGTCGATGCTGTTGCTCAGGGGCAGAGCACTTGCCTTGCCTGTACGCACGAGCACCATACCTTGCACCACAGAAAATAAGAATAAAAAGCCACAAAAATTAGAGTTTTGTCGGTGTGACGCTTACAATCTCAGAATTTAGGGAGCTAAAATAGAAGAAGTACCATGAGCTTGAGGCTATCCTGGGCTACACAGGGAGACCCTCTCTCATAAACAACTGCCAGGCATAGTAGTACATGTCTTTAATACCAGCATTCGGGAAACACAAGCAAGTAATTTCTGTGAAGCTGAGGCCAGCATGGACTACATAATGAGTTCTGGGTCAGCCAGAGCTACATAGTGAGACCTTGTCTCAACAAGAATACACACAACACCTACAACAGTAAGCTTAGCTTGGCATGATGGCTCATGTCTGCAATCCCAACAACTCAGAAGGATTACCACGAATTTATGGCCAGGGTGTGATACATAGTGAGATAGAGGCCAGTTTAGTGTACAGAGTGGGGTAATAAAAATGGGTTGGGAAGGGCTGGAGACATGGCTCACTGGTTAAGAGCATAGGCTGCTCTTCAACCGGACCTGAGTTCATTTCCCAGCACCTACATGATGGTTCACAATCATCTGTAACTCCAGTTCCAGAGGATCTGATGCCCTCTTCCAACCTCCGTGAGCAATGGCCATGCATGTGGTGTACAGACACTGATGCAAGCAAAACATTCATACACATTAAATAAATTGAATATAGACACATACATATACATACACACACACACACACACACACACATGCTTGTTGCTGTTCCTGCTGTTTTTGTATAGGACACAGATTTAATTCCCATAACCCACATCACTTTTAACAACCATCTCTGACTGTAGTTTCAGAGGATCCAATGCCCTCTTTTGACCTCTGTGGGTACCAGGCATGTGTACTGTAAATGTACATATATGTAGGCAAAAACTTCATATACATAAAACATAAAAAATAAACAAATCTTAAGAAAAACAAAACAACAAAATAAGCCAGGCATGGCCTTTAATCCTAGCAAACTCAGGAGGCAGAGGCAGGTGGATCTC